GTGTGTGTGAGTGTGAGTGAGAGAAAGAAAGCATGTGTGTATATGAGATCATGTAAAGAGGCTGTGATAAGATGGAAAGAAGAAGCAAGCACATCCTGGACTGACATGCCTGGCAAGGCTGTGACACAGCTATCTACAGTGCAGACTTTTTTTTATTACAATCAAAATTGTGTGAATTCACAATCAGCATTCAATCGATTAACCCATGCAGCAAGGTGTAAAAACATTTCAAGATTGAACCAACTGCGTAGGTGAGAACTTTGAGAAATGTGAAAAGAGCTTTTTCGTGGGTACTCTCAATATTTAATATGGAGTTGCAAACCATTTTCATGTATATGCCTGTCATCTTGTTTTTCTCAACATGTAAACCCCTAACCCTTTAAAAACCAAAAATAGAAACATAACATGCATAATATCATAGTTATGGTGAGTTGTTTTGGGCTTTTAAAGAACTGCATCAATGCAAAGCTTGCAATGCTGCACTTTGTAGATTACTTCAGAGATTGTTGTCCTTTGTGAGGTTTATCTACATTACTCTCCTTTACTGATATATGTATACATTAGGCCTACATATTCATCCACTCATTCTTTACAGAGCTGGAGGCAGTGACTCCACAGACATCAAATTATCACGAGTGCTCCCTTAACAAAACCAGGGCTATATATTCCCTATATAACCTTGCTTAAACCATTTGATTAACTACAACAAACTTACATAATCTGCATACATTTAATGCATGAACTTCTAACTTATTTGTAAGCGCTGATGTGTATAATATATTCCAGCTCCAGCTTCCATCACTAACACCCCTTCTCCCATTTGTCCTCATAATCTGTCCCTCTTGCTTTTACTGTTGTCTTTTGTATCTTAACAGTTTCCGTTGAGGAAGGCCTAATCAGAAAGCACATTTCCTGAAGTGAGTTGGCACTGATGAATCTTACTCAATGACAGCTGTCCAGCAACTTTGACTAATTGAACTGAGGTCTTGACAGTGTTGTAGCAACATAGCAGCAATGTGTGGTCTCTGTTTTTACCTTCCTCTTAGGGAATTAGGCTGAATGTATGTATGAAGTGTTTGGGGCAGGCGCTCCACTGTTGACAGTATTATTGATCATTTTGAATTACCAAGTCATTGACGAGCAGAGAGTGGGATGAACATTTTAGATCACTCTCACTGTGAAGTCTTAAATAGCACCATGAACAAGAATTTGTTGTGAACATCCTGGTTTAATTTGCTAGCCATATGCCTTGTGCAACTAAAGATGTAAGCATGTCTCATCTTTCCAAAGACCCCTCACCTCCCCTACAAAATAGGAGAAGATCCGGTTTCAAACGCACAGGGGGGATCTGCCCTCCTGGGAGGTCAGCTTCATCCTTATTCTCTGACATCCTACAACATGCAACTTCCTTCAGCCATAGGAAGTCCTGTTTTTCATTGTCCGGTTCCTGTTGTTCAGGGTTAGACTAACCTTCTTCCTGTAGACACATATTTAAAACTCTTCTCTCCCTCCGTGTATTTTATATTGACTTTTACATTTAGATGGCCAAGTAGAAATTGTGAAAAGCACTTTGGCAGCTTCAGTGATGTTTGCTTTACCCCAGGTTTTTTCAGATGGAGAGGTGTTTTAATCTGTCTACCTATCACTTTGTTGTGTTGCCTGACTGTATGATTTAAAAAAAGATAAATACATGAATAAATATGTATGTTTGTAAGTATGTATGTATCTTTGTACAGTATGTATGATTTGTGTTGTATGAAATGTCTCGTGTGCAATAGCCTTGTGTGTCCAGTAGCACGCTGCCTGTGTTAAATCGGTACAATCTGAAACACTAATGTAGGTACATAAACATTTTGTTAATTGCATTCCTTTTTTTATAAAATAAATGAAATACTGAAAGAATCCATTTTGCATGTTCGCGTGTCATTCTCAGCTGAAAAATAATTGCAGCAGTAGCTTTTCTGCAGGTCCTGAGATGCCTTCCTATTGTGCCTACATCTGAGATCTATTCAAAATGCAGACTTTATTCCAAACATGCTCTGACATGGTCAGAAAAACACTAGTTTCAACATGAAAGCCTGCAATTGTATATGCAAATACTGTTTTGCCGATTAATCATGCCTCTCTCACCTAATAAATTGTTCCGTTGCTTAAAGACTAAAGCAAGACAGGGCTATGATGGGAAGCTGGGTAGAGGGCAGGGAGGGTGAAAATGGGGTGTGGTAAGGAAGAATGTCCATTTGTAAAATGGTTTGTCTAAGACAAGCATAAAGAAAGGTCCCGGGAGAGGTTTTCGAGTAAGGGGGAGACTTGGGGTGAGGGGAGAAGCTGACTTATAGCGGCCTTGGGAGAGTTGGGCCTGTTTCCTGTCAGACGTCCAGGATTCCTGGGTGGGAACGCTGGCTGAATCAGCCCCAGGAGGCTGTGCTGCTGGGAAGACTGCCAAGTCTTTCCAGTGCCCTGCAGGATATGACATCAGACTCAGAAACCTGTAGGTGAAGTTGTACACACAAACATATAAGTCAGCACACAAGACCAAAGTGGGTTTGTCCCTGCAAGAAAGAATCATTTGGAATAGTTTATACTAGAAAACATGGAAACCCCAACACACTTGAACATGAATCCTCTCCATTAGATTATGTAAATATAGTACGTACACACATACACAACTGCCGAAACTGCCTCACATGGAAAATAAATGCTCAAAAAATATAAATCTACTGACTGAACTTAAATGAGGTAACTTCTGGTTGATGTGGCCAGGTTGGATTTGCATGTAGCTACAAGCAAGTAGAGGACAAAGACTCCTACTTTCTAACTATCAATGACATAGTGCCACCTTGTGGTAAAATGAGCACATAGCAAGCCATACTTGAAGCATGTTCCAGTCTGCAAAATAAAATCACAGAAGTCGCTAAAATGTTTATTTATATTTACATATTTAAAAGAGAGAGACAAAGAGAGCCCCATCCAGACCTGGAATCATGAACATACATTAGAGTAACACAGGAAAGTTAGTCATCTACTGTTACCCTGCACTAACACAACTAATCTATTATTCACTACGAGCACAGTGTCATCTATTGAATGCGTTCATTCAAAAGTACAGATACATACAAAATCTAATGAGGAAAGACATTTATTGATAGTATTACTCATTAGTAAACAACGTTCAGATTGCTTCCGCTTGGTCAGTTGTCTACAACATCTGGAAAACAGCAAGGGTGGGTCGAGATTGTTGTCTATTTAAATAAAATCATGTTTTTTTAAAAATACAACCACGTGGCAATCACAAGAAGATACATAAGACGATACGCTATGCGAAAAAAATGTTTCGCCTTCAAACGAAGCATTCAGCGGGGAAATATTACCTCCCACAGTGAGAGTGATTCACCCGTAGATCGCCGCAATGGTACAGTCCACAACACCCGGGTTTCCGCGCGAAAAGACGGCCCGCGCGCCCGAATTGCATATAGCGTCCATTGCGAGAAACATCACGCGACCAGCAGTCACTGTGGAGACGCGCTGCAGTTGCCAACGGCGGTTTTAACCTTTGTTTTAACGGATTTTAAAGCGATTTATTTTATTTTTTAAAACCTCCTTTGTCTTACACGTTTAGCTAGCTGTTCACAATGCCATCCAGGACTTCCCTGTCTCTGCCAGAGGATGTCAGGAAGAGGTACGGTAACGTTAGTAACGGGAGTGCTAATGATGCCTCGCTGTTGTAGCATGCTCGCAGCTTGTTGTCTTACTTTTAGAAAGCCACGACAACGACGACAGCGAAACCCGTGTGACTAGCCCGCTTCGCACTTGCCCCGGTGGTCGTGACCGGGGCTACTACTTCACATTGTGCCCGTACTAGCAGCTGCAGCTAGCGTTAGCCTGTTGACAGTCAGGTCTGATGCCGCAAACACGGTTAACGTGAGCGTTAGCTCCCCGTTAGCCACCTAGCATCTTAGCCTGTCAATGGATGGAGCAACGTGTGGGATTTGGCGCCACTCAGGAAGTTTTGCTACCTCTGTTTCTGCTAGCTCGCCGTCGCTCACAGCGGGTTTTTTTTTTTTTATTGCTACAACCTGAGTAAATGTCATTGTCTCTGTCGCACATTGGTTGACTCACCGTGTTGTTGTTGTTGTTGTTGTTGTTGTTTGTTCACAGGCTGCAGGTGCTGGATGAGGATGGAGTTTCAGACGAGGTGGGTTCAGTGTTAACAATTAGTGAGCAGCTGGAGTCACGTTGTTCCTTAAGGCTCAGTTTCAGGGGCTCAAAACACTTGAACATGATCGTGGGGTCACAATACGCCGTCACTTTGAAGAGACGCTCAATTGGATTTCACTAAGCAAAGTCAAAAGTCCAAAAGTCAGCTTTATTGTCAATTACTTCACATGCACCAGACATATCTCACTCTCCCACGATGAAACAAATAGCACAGACAAGACAAAATGCTAAAAAGTAAACATTCAATTACACAACAGATAAGACATTTACTAANTTTACTAATGCTAAAAGATAAAAAGAGACAATAAAATACACAATACTTATGGTATAATATAAAATCTGCATCGTCTGCTTCAATTAAGATGAATGAGTCTCACCATATCCTTAAAAGTAAAGACATGAACTATATAAATGCCATCTAACAACATGCATGTTATGAACATTAAGTTGGATTTAGTATCTCAAACACGATGATTTGATTTTTATGTTCAGGTCTTGACGCTGTCCTCTTCAGGTTAAAGCATGTGTTAACATGTCAATAAAGCTGCAGCTTGAGATAGTTATCTCTCATTTCAAGCTTTATTGGAAAAGTACATTAAAATATGTATCGTCAAGGATTTAGTAGGTGACCTATAATCAAGTGGCCTCTTTAACATTGTTTCTGCTGCAAGAGCCTCTCTGCTTCTGGTGCAATACACCAGAAAGAGTCTGATTTGTATGTTTTTGATCCTCACCTGAAGTTAAACTTCCCTTTTCTGATGAAATA